CGAGGGTGAGTAATTAATGACAGAATTTTCATTTTTGGGTGAACTATCTCTTTAGTACAGCGATGTATTGTAAATGTGGTTTGATGTTGAGGCTCTTCTCTGTGTCTCTCAGCGGCTCATTTTAAAGCGCAGGAGCACATGGCTCCGTCCACGCCGGCGTCGGCCCGTCAGCAGATCCTCATGTCGGCCATCGTGAAATCTCCGGAGCGCCAGCCCAATCCCAGCAGCCTCCTGAACCCTTCCAGCTCGGCCCGCCGCAAAGAGAGCTCCACGCCGGAGGGTCAGTACAGAACAGAGTCTGCTTCACACATACTGTTATTGTGGCTGCGATGTGATTGGTCAGGCGTTTCTGATAATAATGATGGAGCAGAAAAATCTGCAGCTGGTTTCTTGGTTATATCAGACTGGAGTGCAGTTATTATTTAAAGAAAAATTTATGCAAAATTGATTCTATAATGCTGGTCTTATTGTGAGCTATTCATCAGTAAAAAATATTTCAAGCATAACAGAATCCAGGTTATATTTCACCCCTAAATTAAGAAACATATGCATGAAACCTATTTTTAGGACCTATTTTTTTGTGACATTTTTATGAATATTAAACACATTTACTCTAAAATTGTCATTAGTGCTATTCAGAAATGGTAATTGTGTCTGTGTGTGTGTTTTTAATCAAAATCTATATAAAAAAAAAAAATATTAAATTTGTATTTTTGTATTTTCTGTTTTTAATTTTAATGTTTTAGTAAGTTGTGTGTGTTTTGTCATCTTTATTATTTTTGTTAAATATATCTATATAGTTTTTAGTATTTTTTTGCATTTTAGTTTGTTATTTTAGTTCATCACGTTAAACTGAATTAAAATTAGTTGCTTTGGCAGCTAGCTGAAATTTAAAATATATATAAAATATATATATATATTTCATTTCATTTAACGTTTATTTGATTTTGAGTTACTTTTTTTGTATTTTTATTAGTTATTGTTTTTGTTAAATGTCTTTATTGTGTTTTTATTACATATTAAATTAAATGAAAATTAGTTGCTTCGGCATCTAGCATATATATATATTTGTGCTGTCAAACGATTAATCGCATTCAAAATAAAAGTTTTAGTTTACATAATATATGTGTGTGTACTGTGTATATTTATAATGTATATGTAAACACACACACATACAGTATATATATTGAAAATATTTACATGTATCTACATTTATATATTCATATTCTTATTTTATATTGTATATAATTAATATATGAACATAACATATTTTTCTTAAATATATACATGCATGTGTTTGTATTTATATATGCAT